GCGAGTGTTATTTTAATAAGAAACTTACAAAGATTTTTTTTTAATTGCAAAATTTTTGACTTAAAATATATACCAAAAAAAATTGAAGCTATAAATAATATTTAAAATCAGAAATTAAATTATTAATTTATTCAATATCATTAATATTATTTCAATATTAAATATGCAAATATTATAAATTTGTTTTTTTTTAATGAGGAAATAAAAATTGCAATAAATTCAATAACTTAAAAAGCACCAAAAACATACCAAGAATTCCAGCAACAACTACAGTAGCTCGTGTTTCCCTTTTCAACGCTAATGTTTCTCGACGTTTTCGACGTAGAGCTTGAGTTAGCTACAAAAAAACTTATATATACCGAAACAAAAATTGAAAATTACAAAAAGTATTAATTACTGTTTTTCAAGAGTAGTAAAATAAATAAATACAAAAATAGTTATTAAAATTGCCTTAATATTTAATATGCAAATATTCTAAATTAGTATTTTTGCTTGTACAAGCAAATAAAAATTGTATTCAATTTTACCTGTGTAGCAATTTTTTTCAGCTTCCCTTGAGAAACTGTTTCTTCACGATTTGTTTCCGAGCCATTAATATTATTATTATTAATAGTATTATTAGCATTTACAGTTCTACTTGCAGCAAAAACAGTAAAGCCATGGGCTATTATAGCAGTACGTAGCATTGACCAAGAAATCGCCCTCCTAAAGTTATACTTATTAAAAAAACAAAAAGATAAACTTTTGAATTGATTACTTTCGTGTATTTTAAACTTGAAATAGAAATTAAATAAGTAGTCAATATTTTGATATATTTAAAAATATTTTCCATAGCAACATTTTTCAAAAAATTCAAATTATTAAAATAAAAAAGTAATGCAAAATATATGATCGAACTTTGTATCTGCTGCTTCAATCGTACTTTCTGTGCAATTGTCAGTATCACAACTATTTGTCGAGATTCTTCTACAACTTTCTGCGCAATTATAAGAAATAGAATACTCATAAGTAATTAATTCAAAATTTAATAATTACTTTGGATTTAATTCTTTTTTGCATTGAAATGGTACAATTTTTGATTTTTAAAAATTTTTTTCTCTGCTAAAAAGTGATATAACTGCTTTTTGATTGATTATCAAAGAAATAAATGGATAAATAAATAATAAATAAGTAAATAAATATATAAATAAACGTGAGATCTTTAACCTATACGTCTCATAACTGCAGCTAGCAGAAGTACACGAACTACGACTTGAGTTTGAGCTTACTGTTGGGCTAGGAGTCACGCAGCATTCCCACCTGGGCACCTATAATACTAGCGTAAATCTAAAATACTTAGCATTAATAATTCGAAATAATTTATTAAAATTACTTCATTTAAAATCTACCGTTGGTAAATGATAACAATCATATACCATCTCTGAATATTCTATTTGAATAAAAACAAAATCATTTTAAAAACTATTTAACACATTTAATTTTTAAAATTTTAAAGTTTTGGTAAAAAATTGAATAGGAAATTAAGTTTATCACTAACTACTTATTACTTTAAAAAATTGAATAGAAAATCAACTAGCTTGTAAGGAAACAGAAGCTGTTGCAATATTTGTAGAAGATAGTTTATTATCGGTAGAATTCATTGCAGATAAATAAGCATCAGATTTTGATTTTTGTAATGTTTTTAATTGCTCTGTATCGTTAAATGCTTTTGAATTCCTAAAAGTTATAATTAATTATTTATAGCATACAATAATTAAAAGTTTAATTACAGTAATAATATACTTTTGTGTATAAAAGTGTATACAGAAGCAACAAATATACCTTACAATAGGTAGTTGTAACAAATTTTCTTCATTACTCATTGTTGCCTTCAGAAGGCTATTCTTGTTAGTATTATTTGAATCTGTCTTAGCATTATCGTCGAGAGTTGTTGATAAATTATTCATTCCAAGACACTGATCATCTTAAAAATTTGTTCATTTATTTTATTTTATTTTTGCTAGTTCTATATTTACATAGATAAAAAATTAGTATTTTGCTTAGTTATATTTGTTAGTAATTATATTTCTGAGTAAAGCAAATATGTGGCATTTTTTTAAATTTTTGAATTTTGCAAATATAATTTTATTATTTTGTGTTTATCCTGTGTAAAAAAAGCATTAAAGTTCTTTTTTTTTTAAAAAAAAAGGCAACTTCATTATTCAGTAGCTGATGAAGTTTAAAATGAATTACTTGGATTTTGATATTTGACCATTACTGTGGTCACTTCCATATTCGGAAGGTCTGGTGTGATACTTAAATGTTTTTTAGAAGCTATCAAACGATCATGATGTAAAGTTTCAGCACAAATCGATGATGAACGCCATCTGAATCAATGCACGAAGTTTCTCAACTTTAAAAATAAATAATTAATCTTTTATTAATTAATAATAAATAATTTCTGGATCAGTGTTTTTGATTTTCAACCTTAGAAAATGCTACCCTTTTCCTGAACAAATCAATTTTTTATGAATGATATTTCTGAATACT